TTTTTTTTTTTTTTTGAGGCAGAATCTCACTTTGTCACCCTCGGTAGTGTCCCATAGTGTCATAACAATGTCAAACCCTTGGGTTCAAGTGATCCTCTTGTCTCAGTCTCCCAGATAGCTGGGACAGGTGCTCACCAGAATGCCCAGCTATTTTTAGAGACATAAGGTCTCACTCATGGATCTATTTCTTCAGAGTAGGTTTCTCTCAAACAAGTTCACAAGAGATCAACATGTACAGATACAATGGGTAACTGACAATGATACATAAACTACTACAAAGGTACAGATATTTGCATTATATACCATTGTATTCTGTATATAAAGACAGACCTCAGTTTGTTCCTGTTAACAAGTATTTATGGAACAGAAATGCTGTATTAGGCATGAGTGAATAAGATTAACATGAATAAAGAAAAGAACGTATGATAACCTTGGCAAATGGACGACTAGGGAAGAAAAGGAAGGAGAAAGAGCATGGAGGAAGAAAAGAAGGTGTGAGAGCATGACACATTTGAGGACATAAATATAATTCAGTGCACCAGAATAAAATTGTGAGAGATGAGGATAAGGAAATGAGCAAGATCCCTATCAAGAGTAGTCTTAAAAGCCACGGTAAGCAGTCGATCTTTTTCTTAAGAGTGATGCAGAGCCACTGCAGGTTTTAAGCAGTCAGTTATTTATTAGATTTCCGATCTGAAAGGTTTGGCAATTGTGTTAAGAGTGGACTGGATTAAAGGGTAGTGTGGTAAGAGTTGAAAACCTCTTCTATAACCTTGGGGAAGTTTGATGATGCTGGATGTGGAAAGATGGCAGTATACCTGGAAGGAAGAAATGAATAGATGAGGTAGTTAGGAGGTATCATCCACAGGACTTAGCAACTAATTGTATGTCAGGAGAACAGAGTCCAGAAAGATAAACTCTATGTTGTAGCTGCACACATGAGAAAAGGCAAATTGAATAGAAGGGAAAGAAAAGGCATTTAGTGGTGCATTTGGGGGATTTGAATTACCTTTAGAATAGGCAACGGAGCTAATAAAGAGACATTTTGATATAGAGGGCTGAAGTTTAGGAGGCAAATCTAGGATAAAGGTTTAAATGCCACTGAAGATGATAATATCACCCAGAAAGAATGAACGTATCTGAAGAAAGAGAGATGGAACTGGACATGAGGAACACTAAAACTTAAATTATAAGCAAAAGGAAAAGGATTCTGAAAAAAAAGACTAAGAAAAGATGGCAGGACAAATGGAAGAAAAACTGGGAGAAACTGGTATCATAAAAGCAAAGACAGCATCTCACTAAAAATGGAATAGATACATAAGGACTAAGGAAATTCCCACTGGACTTGCAAAACAGAGATAGACTATTAAAAAAAAAGGTGATAAGAGCATTTTCAAAGGACAAAATAGCTGCAAAAACCTGCATATGGCCTTTCATAAAGTGAGTAAAAATTGAAGAAGTAAACAAGTGTGAGTGTAAACAATTCTTCTCATAAGTCACACAGGATTTGGAAGAAGCATGAATGATGGGATATTGTTTATATGTGAGTTACTTTGTGTGGTTTGACTCTGTCTGTTAGTTTTTCAAATGGACAGAGTTGGCCATTTTTCTGTTGATGGGAAGAAAAGGAAGAAGTGAAGATGCTAAAGTATGGATGGGAATATTTCACCAGGATCCCAAGGAGGAAAGAATAGAATCCAAGAGACAGAAGAAGGGATCTGCATTGGATGGTTTGCTAGGATTGCCCTAGGAAAGTATTAAAAACCGGATGGCTTAAACAACAGAAAATCTGAAAGCACTTAAAATCTGAAAGCAACATGCCTACTATGTTGTACCCTTCTGATGGCCATGAGAGAAGAATGGATGCCAAGTGTCTCTCTTTGACTTGTAGATGGCCATTTTCTCCCTGTGTCTCTTCACATTGTCTTGTTCCATGAGCATCTGTTTCCAAATTTCCCCTTTTTACGATGTAAGGACACCAGTCACATTGCATTAGAGACTTACCCTACTCCAGGCTGACTTCATCCTAACTTAACTACTCACATCTGCAAAAATCCTATTTCCAAATAAGATCACATTCTCAGGTATTAGGAGTTGGGACTGCAGTATATGGATGGTGGCAGGTACAATTAAATTCATCACAGATAGAAAAAGACATCTCCATGGTGACAGGAAAGAAAGAGAAAGTATAGCAGTGTGAGCCTGTAGATTTTAAGGAAGTCAGGGAGTTTCCATCTGCCTTTTATTTACTTTGAACTGTTGACAAAGTCAATGGCAGAGAAGGAGTTAGAGTTGGAAGCTGAATTTTCCTGGGGAATATTTGATAGAGCCATCTCACAGAATGAGATGGTGAGCCAGGCAGCTTTGACAGCTACTATAGCATCAACCCATGATAGGTAGTCGGAGGAAATAATCAATTATTCAGTGGTGCCCTTTAGATAACAAAGGCCTTCTCATGGGTAAGACTACTTTGTTCCTATAATGGCTTACAACTGAATATGTGTCCATTTCACTAAGGAAAAGCTGTTGGAGGATTCACCAGTTAGCCATTCATTTAAAGTTCAACATCAATTTATTTATGGTTAATATTGATTTGTTTATTATCATCCCTATTTAAAAAAGAAGCACACTTCTTTTACATACTGAAATCATAACTGGAATTTTTGTTAAAGCATAGAATATAATCTATTCCCTCCGCTAGGTTGTATTCTAAAGAGGGAGATAACATTATTCACTTTTCTGTCTCTAAATATCCCCTAACATTTCTCAAAGCTGTAGGTGAAGTCAACACAGTGAACTTTCCTAAAATTGAACCCTGAAGAGTAATGGTTACTCACTAAGTAAGCATCTGTGTCCAACTGGGAGTAATTTTTCTCAGAAAGTCTTGTTCAAGGGTACACCGTTTTTAGAAAAAGGAGATGTGAAATTCATGCATATCTGTTAAATTCAAGAATGGTGAGCTCCAACAGCAGAACATACTTGAACCTCTTGAAGAAATGAAAAGTAATCAGATCTTCAATCTCACAAAAGATTAGTTTAAGGTATGGTAAAATGATAGCACTGAGTTAATAATCTGATGATTTTTTCTCTATTTATAGAAACTATAACAGGTATCTGTTTAAAATTACATATGGCAATAGTTTTAAGTAATAGGGAATAGAAATAAAAAATAAATGTAAGAAATTAAGAAATATTATATTTTTCCTTGTGTTTCAGAGTGATTGCATACTCAATTTTTTCCTGTCTGAGCCTATACAACAAACTATCATAGAATCATCACTTGTGCACCTATGTAAGTAAATTCCCCATTGTACCCTGGGTAGTTGTTGAGTTTCAATATAACTGACAAGAATAATCACAACTATAATTTTTTTTAATATTTGAGTTAAAATATCTTTTAAGACTAAAGCTTTAATATTTATTATATTAAATAAAATTTATTTTCTAACCATTTCTATAAATTTTGATCCTTTAGAATATGTTCAAGTTAAATTAAACCTAGATAGGTTTGTCCAATTAACTATACTAACTGCCTGGCACTTTGTTAACCCATTTCAACTAATTACACATTCTAATAGAATTACATGTCCAAGACAAAGTTTCCATTTTCCCACTTAGATAAGTCTTGAAGTTTACTTTATGTCTTAGGAAGCAACAAAAATAAATATTAAGCAATAATAATGGTCATGAGTTTTCCAGAGTTTCACTCTTATCTTTTAAAATTCAATAATATTCTCCTTCCCTCATGAAATCTTGTCAGGATACCACAATAACCTAGCACAATTATCCACCTAATTCTCTTTCAAATGTGTATTAATTCTAATTACTCTATTTCTATTCTCTCTCCCACATGGGCAGGGATACTTTTTTAAATGTCCCACCAATGTTAAACAACTGTAATATAATTTCACTGCAAGGAGTAGTCATCCCAAAACTGATACTTGATTTTAATCTGAACCAAGATTGGAAAACTTATAATTTGCAGACCTTACTGGCCTCTCCCTTAGCAATTCCTGGTCTTCACTTCCTCCATCTCTGCCTTTGCGTTCTCTATCCTTAAGATCAGGCTCTTCTGCTTGACATTCCTGCTTGTATCTGACATCTTAGTTATTTCCCTCTTAGGTGTATAGTTCTCTATAACCAGATCAGGCTATATAGCATAACTGTTTACTAAGTTGGATACCTGTGTGTGTGCCTGCCTTGCTTCTCCTATTACAGAAAGAAATTTTAATTCAAGGATTAAGGATTATATCCCCACTCTGCATTTCAGTATACTCACAAATCCTAAATCATTGCATGAAGACTGTGCCTCCTTCATTCCTCTATGTTTTGCCCATTGTGAAACATCATTCTCTAAGATGCTTTGCTCCCATAAACAAACTATAAACATTTATTTGGGTACATAAATCAATCTTTTACTTTTTACAGAACTTAAGATATTCCTATTCTTATTGTCATAATTCACAATTACCTAATATATATATTTTTAAAAAATAATCAAGAAATTTTTTATAATTAATATTATAAAGTTGAACAATCCACATTTTGAAAACATCAAACACGAGGTCGTATAACTCTAGAAATATCAGAGCTTTTCTAAAGAGACCAGGTGGACTTCTAGTCTATCATTAAAGACTCTGAAGAAAATTGTTTCTCTGTGCTTAAAGAAATTAAACTGAAAATCACTATCAAATTGTTTTAATGCATATAGTATTATTTCTCTGAAAACATTTTAAAATACACATACCCAAAAATCAGAATTATTTATATCAAAAACTAAAATGGTTGAGATTTTTTTTTTCTGTTTTCATTTCTTGCATCATATAATAATCAAGATTTGTTCCCACTGAGGTGATCGACAAAAGATTGATTCTCAATTATTTTTGGCATATAGGCTATGTATTAAATATATCCTACCATATTAAAACAACAGACGATATCTTCCAAAGCAGAATATGTAAATTGTTACAACAAAAATGGATTGGTAGAAAGTTGTCCTTCTGAGATTTTCAAATTATTTTCTTTCATACTTCTGAATTCTGAATTCTTTTGTGACAGACTATCAGTTGATTCTAAACATGAAGCACAACATTTATTTTGAACACTATTCTTCTCAGTTGAAAATTTGAATTTATGTTGTTAAGTGATTACAGGGAAATATTATTTGAGTGTATTAAAGTATTGGTTTACATAGAAAGAATTCAAGCAAAACTGGCTTCACCCTTTTACTACCTCTAATTATTAATAAATAATTAGTTAAGATGGTGGATCTTGGATATATATGTATCTAAGCACATGACTTATAAAGATCATACCAGTAAGAATATGTAATCCTGGATCTGGGAGATACTAATACTCCTTTGCTTTTACTGCTACCTAAATATGACTTGAGAGAATAGCAGGATTTCTCTTTAATCAATTGCCAATCCATTCATCTCTCTCCTCTACTTAAAATTTTTCCTTGAATTCCAATTGCCCTTAGGCAGGAAGGTCAATGCCACGCACTTGCAATCTGTGCAGTCACACAGGGCAGGGCACTTTTAAAGATCCCATGCTGGGTTTAATACTCCGCTGCCACCCTGCTCATTAAATTCTTAATAACTTTTTTTTTTTTTTGAGACAGGGTTTCACATTGTCACCAAGGCTGGCCCAATCACAGCTCTCTACAGCCTCAAACTCCTGGGTTCTAGTCATCCTCCTGCCTCAGCCTCTTGAGTAGCTAGAATTACAAGTGTGCAACACCAAGCCGAACTAATTTTTTTTTTCATTCATAGAGACTAGGTTTTACTGTGTTGCCTAGGCTGATCTCAAAGGCCTGGTCCCAAGTCTTCCTCCCACTTTAGGCTTCCAAGCTGCCGAGATTACATTTATGAGCCATCGTGCCCTACCTCTTACTAACTTTTGAACAAAAGTGCTCAAATTTTTATTTTGCACTGGGTCTCATAAATTATGTAGCTGGTCCTGTCCTTAGGATAAAAGACTAAAATCCTCATCATGGCACCCCAGCATATTCTGGTACCTGCCAACTTCTCTTTCTAGTCTATTTCCCTTTCTAGTCTTCCCCATCTTAATTTCTGTCTTTTTCAGTTACTCAGAGACGACAAGCTCCTCAGTATCTCACAGATTTAAGCACAATTGCCTTTGCTATATCACCACTATCATGTTCTTTCTTCCAGACACTTATCGATTGCAATGACAACTCTAGCTTGTATGGTTATTTGTAGACAAGAAATCCCTGAGGAATGGACAATCCTTGCCTGTGTGACTCACCATTGTATACCTAGGACCTAGTAGAGTGTCTGACCTACTCTAGATATTCAATAAATAATTACTGAATAAATTATTGATGACAGAGAAAATTATGAAATGCTCCATCAAGGTAGCTTTTAATAAAAAGAACAAGAGAGAAACACCAACATTCAAAATCAGTCTACTCTTCCCACTCATTACTTTATGTGATAATATCCTAGCACAATAAACTCAAGGCCTCCCAACCACTAAAATTCTCTGAAAGTATCACCTAGAAAAAGACATTCTACAAGTTGTCACATTAAATACTATGGACATAAGACTCAACCAAAGCACTACCAGAATGGTGCTGGATTTTGTCTTAAGTGTTTATTAACTCTCTAATGGCATGATCCTCTGTATGCCCCAAAATATAGTTCCATGGCAAATGATACTTCCATAAAAAAAATTATAAAATCACCCACTCTTCACTACAAAACAACTCTGACACAAAGAAGATAGATTTTTGTCAAGGTTTGGAAATGATAACATAAGTAATGAGGTAGAACATGATCAAAGACAACAATTGTCAGGGTTAATAGAATGAGTTAATGAGCATATTTAGATGTCATTAATAATTACAAATGATTGCAAACACAATGATTTCAACCTCTACTTTGTGTAACTACCTCCCATTCGAGATGTTAATTTATAAGGGATCTTAAAGCCCTGGAGTCTACATGGCAGGTTAATGTTCTAGCAACTTCCTTGGGCAGAGTCCAAATCAGTTGTGTACAGGTTGAAGTATACTACTCAGGTTTTCAATTTAAATTTTGACAATGTGAAAAAGCAAGAGAGGTCAGAATAGGGCTATTTAGAAATAAAAGCTTTCAGCTGAAAGCTTCAAAATAGTAGCCATTTTGCAATATCGTGTAACCTCATGTTTTTAGCTAGGAAAATATTTTCCACTTTTAATTATCCTTGATCTGGGGAAGAAAAGATGGGAAAAGGATGAGCCGGAAGGCACGCTGTCTGTTTACCTCATCTGTAATAGCTTGAGTGTTAAAGGAGATCACTGAAATCTGAGAAATCAAGCAATAAAAAATATAATTATCTGTAATATCAGTGTGATGCAAACAGTAAGATCACAATATTGAATGTAATTGGGTGGTAGGTGAGAAGGAGGATGAGAAAGATGATGCCCACTAATTTTATCTTTGTTTCTATTAGGAAACAAATGCCAAAGAAATAAAAGTCTAAGGTTGTTAAATAAAGGTAATTGCTAGAGTAAAAATAACAGTTTTCCTATGGATCATAAATACATAAAAATAAAAACATTTCCTCAGTGAGAATTTTTTTGTAAGAATCACAAGACAGAACTAAGGGAAAATGTATTTGTTATATCATTACGCATAGATGGAGTTAACTCATCTATTTAGAAAATTTGTTTTCAAATTCTAGTAAAAATACACACATAACTCTATGTGAAAACAAACCTAAAACAAAATGATTTTAAAAGGCTAAAAATTAAAATAGAGCCATATGTATACAGAGCATTAGGCAAAAACAACGGAAAATAAACCAAAGGTAACGATCTCAATAAAGAAAATGAGGAATTTAGCCCAAAAGCAATTGAATTAAATGAGGAATAGAGCCTTAACTATAATAAGTATAATGCTCAATGAAGATATGAAAATTGTGACCAAGTACCAAATAACATGACAGCAACATATATAAAGCAAAATTTATGGAATACACAGGGAAAACCACACAAAAGCACACTAGTCATAAGATATTCTAGTTTACAGCTCTCAATTTATGAAAGTCCAATGAAAACAAGTAAATCCATAGAAAATCTAAATAGTAAAATTAATAAGGCAAAACTGATTAATTTATATCAAATTCTATATCCTGAAGATGGAGAATTTTTCTCTTCAAGAGCCTATGCATATCCATGAAAATAGATTACATATTTCACAACAAATAAATTTCAAAAAGGAAAAATAATGCTTATCATATTCTCTAAGCAAGATATAATAAAATAAAAAAAATGGAAATTTGTAGAAAGCTAGAAAATACTTAAAATTGAGGATATAAAAAAAATCTCTCTTGAATAATTTTTGGCTCAAAAGTCATTGCAAATCAAATCTGCAGTATATCTCAAGAACAGCAATACAGAAATGCTATGTCTCAGAAACTATGAGAAGACAATAAAGAATGCTCCATCATTGCAACAACTGGAGTAAGAGCCACAAAACACATCAAAGGAAACAGAAATTGGATAAAGATAAAAGTAGACATCAGTGAGTAAGAACCCAGAAAACAGTGGAACTAATAAGTTAACCCAGAAGTAAAAAATAGATGTTAAAATAAATAAGTCACTATCTAACTTAAGGAAAAGAATGGAGGGAAATATGAATGCACAACATACTAAAAGAGAAGCGAGAAGTAACCGTAGAGAGATGAAAATGAAGTGTAGTCAGAGACGACCTGCT